ATGATCTGCAATCTTGAAAGGTTTGAGGAGATCTGCAAAACACAACAGAGAGAGAGAGATTAACAGGGGTACGGTTGAGAGAACGATGAGACAGAGAAGGAGAGAGGGTACGGGGCTGATCCTTTCCTACACTACAGTGTACCTATCCCGGCCAGTAAGAAGTTGTGATGCACATTAGGAAAAATGTTGGGATGCAAGGCTAAACATTACAACATTTTCGTAACGTGTATCATTAATTCTCCTCATCGGCAGGGATAGATACACTGCAGCACATGAGAGGATTTTAATCCCTGCGTTATAAACAAGATAGACTCCAACGTCACTTTTTAAGTAAGAAATGCGCGATTCTCCGTATTTTCACCCAGATGAGAAGAGTTTTCAGAAAACTCCCAAAACACTTAAAATTGGTTCTCTGAAAATTTGAACTCAATTAACTTAGTTTTCTAAAATTTGTTTTGGAAAAATAGTTCCAAGCAGGTGTAATGGATAGTTTTTTATTTTTTGTCACTCCCAAAGCATTTTTCTATTTTGGGAGTTGCAAACCAAACAAGGACGACTGTTTTATGTGAGTTGGGTTGGGGATGCCATCATGATGACGTTATTAAATATAATGAGGTCATCATGATGTCGTCTCTTACTCAAATAATTTTAGTCTGATGTGTTTGACTCAGACTCGGTATCTTTACTCATTTTAAAATGATTCAATTTTTATTTTTATTTATTTTTGTTTTTATTTTTTATTTTTAGTTTTTGTAGAATTTGAGTCAAATATTAAAAAAAATATATAGCTCAGTTTAATTTGATTAGTGTGGCATTATAAGTTCAGAAGAAATCAATTTTCAATAAGCTCTTGTTTAAATGACTAACCAAATCATTATTAATTGAAATAAATCAAACCAATTAAAAGTCAGTGTAGGTTGATTTAGTTTCATGAGGGCTTTAGTTAAAACTATTTAAGTAACCTACTTGACAAAAAATTTCACCCCTATGGTGTAAATGTAATCAAAAAGTACAACAAAATTATTCCAAAAATCTTTATGTATAACAAAAAAAACACATTTTTAAGAAAAATTATAACCGAACAACAAATTTTAGGTGGTGAGTGTTATTAAACCTAGATTGTCACCCTGTTACGCTCCCGAATTCACATGGCATGCGCAAATCATTTAAGATGTCCTCTAACACAATTCACCAACTCAACTTAAAGGATTCAAAACCTCTCATTTGATACAGTAGTCGGTTCAAGACGGTTCCCACAAATCGAGGCAGTTATTATATATACAAAGTTAATGAGGTAAACATGGAAGTAATTAAATACAGTACATATGCTATGAAAGTAAATATGGTCCCACATTAAGCAGCAACCTTTAGTTTGAAATTTGAAAAAGCTGCTTAAATTTCAACATTATGAACACCATCTAACCTCCAGACTCAACAAGATACCAAACCTTCAATGCTCGTTCATAGTGCATTTGATCCCATTGATCCGCATCAATTTTATCATGCACAACTTCTTCACCTCGGACTCGTTTCGTCATCCAATTTGTCCACCACTTAGTTTGGTTTGATTTGGCTATGATAAATGCATTTCTTGGCCTTATGTCGATGATGAATTTCCAGTTCATACCGCAACAATATATATCAACACAATGAATACATCATATTCACCATATCTAATACAGAGTTTATAACATGTATGAATGGTGTAAAAAAATAAAATCACAAGATATATAGTGTAGATTATATATCAAGTGTGATGCCTTCAATTCACATAAGAATTAATATCTCTCACACACACTCTCTTATGGATACACACAAGTAGAAATTGATCTCACACAACACACTCGTGAATAAACAAACAAAGAAAAAATGTTTTTAGCAGTAGTAAGCACTATTGGGCTAGAATATAGTGCAATGTAAGATTACTTGCATAAAAAGTTTTGTATTTGAAAAACAAATCTATGTCTTTCTAACTTTACTTATTTTAGCAATTAATCAATTAATCTCATGCAAGATAAACTAAAGTAAAGTAATAAAGTTAGAGATGACACCAGGATTTTTAGCGAGGAAACTTCAATTGGTAAAATAGACCAATTGTTTGCGTGGGAAAAACCTCGTGGATTGTGTAGTCCAAAGTAAATCGATCCACTATATTTGAAACAAGTACAATGGACTTTAACTCAAGCTCACAGCCCATCGTTCTACCAAACACCAATTGCTGACAATCCTCTGGCTTTGCGACGTCCCGTCCAACAGCACTTAACCTCGGACTTACTCTTGATCTTTGTAGAAGGATTACTGGTAGATCAAATAACACTCTTCGAATGTTTTAACCCTTTCAAAGTGTGATCGTTTCACCTTTGTTCTTCAAGATCTGAATTTGTAAAAGAAGTAGTAGATCTGCTTTCCTGATCGTTACAAGACTTTGACCACGATCAGGATTTGAACAACCCTCTAAACTCACTCTTGTGTTTATGTGTGTGTTCTAGAAAGAATGACAGAAAAATCAACTTTGATTTTCTGCAAAAATATATCTCTAAGACTTTTTAAGAAATATGAAATTGTAATACAAAAGCCGTATCAACCTAGATGAATATCAAGGTTTATATAGAATTTTCAAAGACCTAGACATGCATAAGAAAAGGTAATTTTTGTGCATAGGACTTTTGGTGGTATTCTAAACCAATTAGGAAGAATAATCAAAACAGGAAACAAAGGTTACCAAAATCTGTCTAAAGCCTTGAACCGATTGAAGAATGGCTGAACCGGTTTAAGATGGCCAGTTGAAATTCGAAGCAATTGTTGGATGCTTGAACCGGTTCCAAAAAGCTTGAACCGGTTTAAGATGGCAAGTCTTGAACTTTTGAAGGCCTGACACCTGTTTTGGTAAGTTTGAAAACCTATACCAAGTATGAGAAGTGCATGTCCTAACCTCAAAACTCGTCTTCCTAATGTGTTGTTCTTTTTTTTTTTTGTAGATCTCAGTATATCAACCTTGAACAACCTTCCAATTCCGCAGTCGATCTCGATCTTGAATTTTGACCTTGAAATTATAACTCGATCGGACTTATTTTGACATCAAAATTAGTCAATTACAAAATGTATATCTCACAGTGTTTACTCCCATGTAATTGCTCTGAAACTCATACAACCGGTGGTGAGCATTTTTCATTGTTGTTACATATTATCATAAAAAAAAAGATTGTCAACAAATGATAGGGTTGTTAGTTGTTTTTTTTCAGATATTTTCTTTTCTACTCTTGATCTCTGCATCATCTCCACAATATTACAGTCCATGTGACCTTCACAACTTCTCGCATTGTTTTGTGAAATTCATCACACAAGATTGGATTATCATAAGAATTATAGGAATAAATATTCAGTGCTCTTGGTACATGGTATACCAGGCTAATCTGAGCTATTTGTGATGTGCACGTGCCGGTACGTGTGGTGTATATACAACTTAGATTAGCCCGGTACACGATACACCTGGTGCAACGAATATTTACTTGAATTATAGGGTGAAAGTCTTTGAACGTGGACCATTAATTAACTGGGGGAGAGGAGAGAAACACGGATGATTAGCAAAAGGAAACGTCTAGAGAGAGAGAGAGAGAGAGAGAGAAGTGTCCTTTAGCATAATGGTGAAGAGAGAGGAAGAGGAGAGAGAAATTGGTGGGAGCAATTAATGAGGGTAAGATGGTCATTTTAGATACCTATATTTTGAAATAAAAGGTATTAAAAAATTAGGAATAAATTTGTCTTTTCGCACATTTTTAACGGTGTCACTGATAAAAAAAAAGTAAATTTAAACTTAAGTGATAGTAATTTTCGAAAAGTGTATTTATGTGACATTTGTCTAAACCTCAGATGTGTCATTAAAACTAACCCTAAAAAAAATTATAACTTGATTGGACACGTTTGGTACTGAAATCTCTCAATTCCAATTTTTTTATCTCGCATGTTTTTCATCCACTTCCAGCTTATGTTAGCTTGAGCCATCATCTACTTCCCTCTCTTACTTCTATTCAGGTCTTTAAACCAAATTCATAGTCAACTATGCATACTATATGGTTAAAAATGACTAATCAACCAAACAACACTTCATCTTGTTTTCATCAAATTCTCGTGGCAGTAGAAAATGCAACACATTTTTATTTATTGTATCCTAAAGTAATTACTGTTGCATGGTGTTTACATTCTACATTTTTTTTTTTTTGAATACACATACACAGACGGCGTACTAGAGGGGTGTCGGCTCCAATTCCCCGACGTGGTCACAGAAGTACCTATCCCATTTCTTGGAAGGCGTGGTCAATTTAATTTAATTTAAACTGTATAGAAGTTGGAATGGTCCAGTTCATTTACCTAGTCATTAATATTGGACGTTCTGGAAGTAATAAATATATCATGACTTAGATGGGCATGAATTTCTTTATAGAAGCCTCTTTTATATAGAATGCTGTAAATTATTGTTGTCAATTACTATTAAAATGCACGATCCATTCATGAATATATATATATGATTAAATATTCTCAATTAGATCAATAGACTGATCTAAGTTGTGTATTTTTTTTTTTTTTTTGGCCAATTGGAACTTTTTGATGGTTGCCTTCGTTTTCTGTTTCATTTGGAAATAACGATATTTTCGCAAACAAGAACATCTAGCAGCTCAGATTTGAAAACAAATTTTTAGGGTCAACAAATTAAACTCTAAGAAATTTCCATTCTGAGAGGTAGTTTGTGATCAAATTTAACTTGTTTGCGTTGACCCAACAATCTGTATTTGTATGCTGAGAAATACAATAATATACGGTGCCTAAAAATGTTTCAGATAGTGGTGCGTCAAGATTAATTTCAACACAAATACAACTTCAAGTACGAAGTGTGAAGACTTTTTGCAAGCACAACAACATAAAACCTATCTCCAAATTTCACTAATGATTTTGCTTTCAAATCATTATTGTCAATTCAATTATGTACACAAAAATAGCATCTCTCAACAAGTTGGATAGGAAGAGAGCAAATGAGGAGGAATGCATGAAGAGTTCTTCCAAACCCTAGAGTGCAATTTGAGGATCTCTTTGGCTCTCTCATTGGCCTTAAGACTGCTGTCCACCTGAAGCACCAAACATAGCTTTGAAACAACACCCACTTGCAACATTTCCTCAAGAACCCTATCAGTTGCTGAAAACCTAGATATTGAGGACAGTATTCTCACTGCCCTATCTGTGCCTGCATGAGAAACCCTAAGTATTTTCTTGGACAGAACAGCCAATCCGGCTGCGTGCTTCAACAACTCCGCTCGCCCTTCTGCGCAACTGCATAGCTGGTTTAACACAATCAGAACAAGCTCACAAGCTCTCATTTCTGATGTGTCAAGAAGAAGCTCTATTAGGACCGAAACTGCACCGGCTTGGACTGCTTTGATTCGGTTTCTTCCCCAAGGACAAAGCTCCACCAGAAGCTTCAATGCAGCCTTGGAGGCTTGATTCAACATCTTTTGATCCTGCAAAATATGGAGTACCCCGACAAAGAAATGGGGCTTAATGGTGACCAAATGGACCGGATCAGCCACCTCGAGAATAGCTTTCAATAGCATTATAGCATGAGTTCGAGATTGGTAACTCTCACCATTCATGACATGCATTAATAAAGCCTCAACAAATTCACCTTCATCGCATAAAAGTTTTTTCAGACCTGTTTCCGAGGTCTGGATATGGTTGAGAATGTTCAGTGCTTCTTCTCCCGCCTTATTGGACTCGAGTACTCCTCCGTCCTTCTTTACTATTGAAGCTAGGAATTCAACTGCGCCGGCAGCCTCCAAACACTTCTTGTTTCTCTCACTACCGAGTGCAATAGATCTAAGCCTGCCGAGGCATTTGAGCTGCGTGTGTGGGGACTTCTTGGCGTCGTTGAGGAGTTTTACGATCTGGGCTTCGTCCACCGGTGGCTTTGGAGTCGGAATTCGCTCGATTCCATGTGAAGCGTTGAGGGTGCACCACGCTTGAATCAAACGTCTAAGGGTGTGGTTTGGAGTTAGATCGGCGTCGGAAACTAGTTGTTTTGTTACTGGACAAGTGTTGTTCTTGAATGCATACAACCATCTCTCTATGCTCTCTCTGTCATATGTAATACCAGTTGAAACCGTGACCGGATCTCCCATGAGTTGCATGGAGATTGGACAAAGAAAATACGAAGGGACATCAATATTATAGTCCATTAACACACAACTTTTGTTTTGATCATGAGACGAAGTGAAAATGTTAGAAATTTAGATCGAATTGATGAACGTCTATAGGATGGTAATATTTTACACGAAGACAAAACGAGATGGTACTGAGATGTTGAAAATGAGAAAGTCAAAAACACGGAAATTGAGAGAGATAATTAATTGTGAACCTTTTTCAAAGTTTTATGGAAGAAGAAAAGCTCAAAGACGACTTGGTTTGATAATTAATGCATGAGGCAATTTGGGGAAGCGTCAGTGTTGCATTGCGTGCTACCTCTTTGGGCCCTTTGACTTTCTATCTCTACAGTGGTGTAGGTATCCCCCGCATATATTTTCTCTCTCTAGAACGTGATCTTAAATGTCTAGTGTGGACAACTCTCGTGGGGTCAATAAGGTTCCTTCCGGATTTCTTGGCTGCTGCAGCTGCTGGAAATCTCTGTACTCGGGGGAAAAAAAAAAAATGTTAAAATTCTTCAAATTTATATGCACTCACAGCTTAATTAATATATAAAAGAGTAAATTTTAAACAGTTCTCATATTATTTAATAAATTCACCTCAACTTCATGAGAAAATTTGAAAATTTTATAATATGATGTGCATTAATAGACGGTCAGCCTCACTTTGCTCCCCTTCTGGATATTCTTGATTTATTAGATGACCTAACCGATGTTTTGAAAGAAGTAGCACATAGCAATCTCAAAAATTTAGATATCACTTCACCTAAAAGATTTTTTGTTCCACACCGAATTTGATTCATTGAGGTTTTACCGGCTACAAATGATCTTCCAATTGGGAAACCTACGGCAAATAATAGTGTCCTTTTGGATTGGCTCTTTTCAGCAGGGAATGAATTTTGATTTTTAGTTCCCACTTTTATTATGAATCAAATCTTGGAGGTTTAAAACAAATTGATTGTGCGCAAAAAGGAAAGCTCTTTGACTTGGTCATTTCAGTTTCCTTATCTAATCACGAAGATGATTAAGAACCAAGGATTGGTGATTCCATGTAATGAGAAACGAGAAACTGCAAAGAAGGTTTACAATTTCAAAGATTGGAAGGAGCAACTTCTTGCTCGCACTGGTGCAATCAATGAATGATCATGCTCCTAAAGGAGCAAACACTTCACCTTCTATTTTGTAGGGTGAACTGATTTTATCTTTAGTTTTTTAGTTTTATCTAGTTCATGCTATTTATTTCTGTTTGTTGTTTTTGAATAATTTTACGATTAGGGCCATGTTTGGCAAGACATTTGTGGGTGCACTTTTTAATGTGCACATATTTTGATTTTCTTTTCCGATTTTGAATAAAGTATGACATATTACTTCATATTTATATCTTTATATATGTTTATGCTTTTATGCTTGGTATATAGTTTTTGTAAACAGATTATCAGGTCCAAGTTTGGGGGAAGAAATTTCGATTTTTCACCACGACTGGTTGCACTGAAGTTATTATCTTGCACTCGGTAGTTTCTCTCCTTTTACACTTCTTTACATGCTTAATTTCTATACATGTTTTCATACATTGAGGACAATATATCATTTAAGTTTGGGGGTGTTGAGGGTTAGCTATTCACAGGCAGATTGTCATTGTTGAATTGTTTATAGTTGAATTAGTTTAAAAAAAAAAAATTGTATGTTTAGGCAAATGATTTTTGGCGTTGTTGGAACTAAGTTTGGGGGAGAATTTATGTGATTAATACAGTTTGTATGCTTATATAGGATATCAAGGAATGATTGAAAGTTATTAGCATGATTGTTCAAATGAAAAAGGTCCATTGTATGATTTAAATGTTTTATTTTGGAGTCTTTCATCTCTAAGTGACTTCACAATGCACATTGAGCACACCGAAAATTGCATTCCCTTCCTTGTGGTTTTACTTAATTGACTCCCTGAATTGGTAGGTCGGATGAATGAAATAATCCTTGGCATAAAAAATAAAATAAATAAATAAATTGAATAAAACTGCATTCTTTCAACATGTCAACTAATTAAAAAGGAAGACAAGGAAAAAATGTAAGATGTATGATTAGTTTGAGTTCGTAGCCTAACCATTCAGAGTCATTGCGCCCTTAGAAGTGTCTTTACACTTAACGCCCTAAAACCATCTGGTTTGGGAGTCGTTGGCTCAACGTTTGTTACATGGGGTGGTTAGAAAGCTTAAGGAACTTAGACATTGCACATGGTCATACATAATTTTAAAAAAAAAAAAAAAAAACACATACACAAAATGTGTTCAAATAAATGCACGCCTTAGATTATGATTTCAAAAGATAGATTAAGGATGGGAAAACGTTGAATGAGCCATAAAAGGGTTAAAAGTGCATTTTAAAAGAAATGAAATTTTGGTTCACTTCTAAGGAGCTTGAGATGAAATTATATTATAAATGAGATGTTGAAGATCATGTATGTGGAATAGTTTGTTAATGTATGAATGCTAGGAATTGAATATTGTTTTGAGATGTCATTTTATGCATACTTGTTGTAGTCTTCTTGATAGAGTTTTTCCCCAAAGTCATATGTTCAATGTACACTAGAATGAGCCTTGTTGATTAATATTTGTGGGTATCATTTCTGGTAAAACCTGACGAGACTTCACTTGTCCTCTAGGGATACCTAGGGGTTTAAAAGGCTTGTTGCATATGCTAAATGCAATCGTCACTTCCACAAAAGAGGATAAATCTGTGTTTCAATTTTGTTTTGCTAAGGGACTAGCAAAATATAAGTTTGGTGGTCTGATAAGCGTCAAATATTGCATATTTAAGTACTCTTAATTGCATTAGTTAAGCCCATTATTTGATCTATTTATATAGATTAACTACATTTTTAGGTTTTTGTGTTTTTGCAGGTCTTATTGCTAAAAATGAATAAGAATAAGGTTTTAAAGGGTTTTGAAGCACAAGTCATATCGGGCCTACATTTCAAGTGATCATAAAAAAGAAATGACATGAAGAGGCGATGGATCAACCTGAGCTAAAGAGAGAATTATGTGCCAGAGTAGCATGCTTGGCGTCTAGACGCAAGAACTAGCGTCCGGACGCCACCTTCTAGTAGCTCACATCCGGACGCACGCTTTTGTGTCCGGACGCCAAACCATCAGGGCCTTATGTCCGAATGCAAGTCTTTACGTCCGAACGCGAGACCACGAGCCCCCATTTTATTTAAGTCCGATTTTGTTTTATCTTGAGTGGGGATTCGAATTTTAAACGAGGATTTTGTATTTTGAACTCACGTAAGGATAAAAGAGGGGGACAGACTGAAAGAGAGGAGTCTTAGTTTTAGTTTTGAAAAAGATACAGGGAGAGAGAGAATTTTTAGGGTTCATGGAGGCAAAGCTTGCAACAATGGTGAGAGAGGGGATTCTCTTCTCTTCTTCAATCCTGGAGGTTGCTGCCATATTCATGAGAGGCTAAATCCCTTTTCTAGGGAGTTGATGTAACTTAGAGCAAGTAAACATGTTTTGATTTGTATTTCAATTTGGGAATTCTTATTGTATATATTCAGTTTCATAAATTAGAAGCATTTACATTGACTTGATGTACTTTATATTGAATTGATGTATGTGTTTATCATATGAATATATATATGTGTTGATTTATTATCTTGTCTTAGAAATCATATTGATACAAATGTTACACTTGATTTCCTATAGTAACAATGGGAAAGAGTTTATGGAATCGTTATATTGGCATAAAATTGAGCATTTATATAGGTTATACCTAAGGAAGATGGACCATGTTATACCCTTAGATTAATGTAGTTAGGTAGATAGTCCATACCAACTGAAGATAATCTATGATATTTAATTAATTTCATGTACTGCAACATACTATTGAAGGACCTTGATAGGCCATCCCTAGGGAAGATGGTTCTTACTACAATCTAGTTTAGGTGGATGAACCAGGATAATCAAAGATGGGTTATGCTTAGTCCTGAATATATGATCTTCTTGACGATGTTGTGGTAGTTTTATGCTTCTACGCATCATTATATATATATAATTGTCAATCCCCAAGTTAAGTGCAAGTTTAACTTGTTTATGAGGTTGAGATGAAGTCAATTCCCTAGCTTTCTCTTTATAAGTTCAATCCATTCTATTCACGTTATTTACTGTTTTATGAAAGTTAAATTCGTAGGTTAAGTGACAAACCAATCAATTTTTCATCTCTATTATCAAATTGAGGAAGTAGTTTTATAATTCTGTTGCCATAAACTAGCAATTCTCGTGGTTCGACAACCCCCTACTAGAGCATTTATCTGCAATGATAAATGTGCTATTGTTATAAGTGGTTTTTTTAAGTGGTACACATTTGTGCGCATCAACTTTTGGCGCCGTTGCCGGGGATTGCATACGGTTTTGTAATTAGAATTTAAAAATTGCTTCATTATTTGATTATATATATATTTTCATGTTTTTGATGTTTTTATGTTACTAGGGATTAAAGACTTTCCAGGAGGTTTAATTGCGAAATTTGACGTCTTAAGGACTTTGGGTAAGTTTTTGAAGTTCTTAGTTATTCTTTGTTTGGCCCTTATCGAGGCTATTGCAAATTTCTTGTTTTATTCAGAGCATAGGTCCTTGTCGTGGCCAATTTAATTTGTTTTCATTATTGTTGAATTGAGGAGAAAGGGATCAATGTATATGGATGTATTGGTGAAGGGTTGTTGTGATTGTTGTGTTTGATAGTTGATGGTAGGTCGTAGATTATCGTCTTTACCACATCTTGAGGAACCAATTGATATTGCTTTACTTGAAAGAACTCTTAGGCAGCAAAGAAGGAACCTTAGGGATCCTGAAATTTTAAGAGAACTTGAAATTGAATTAGATAAAATGGCTAATGAACATGGTAATCTTGGAAATCTTAATATTGAAAATGAAAATTTAGCACCAATGACTCTTGGAGACCATTTTGTACCCTCTACATATATATCTCCATCATACATTGTCATGCCCAATGTTGAGGCTCATCATTATGAGATCAAATCTACC